GGGAAGTTTTCAGCTATTATCTCCTCGAGTATCTTCTCATGGCCTTTCTTTTTGTCTTCTTCTTCTGGGACTCCTATGATTCGAATGTTGGGGCGTTTCACATTGTCCCAGAGGTCCCTGAGGTTGTCCTCATTTCTTTTGATTCTTTTTTCTTTTTTCCTCTCTGCTTCATTTATTTCCACCATTTTATCTTCTAACTCACTTATCCTATCTTCTGTCTCTGTTATTCTACTCATGGTTCCCTCCAGAGTGTTTTTGATCTCATTTATTTCATTATTAATTTTTAATTGACTTTTTTTTATTTCTTCTAGGTCCTTATTAAACATTTCTTGCATCTTCTCAATCTTTATCTCCAGGCTATTTATTTGTAACTCCATTTTGTTTTCAAGATTTTGGATCATTTTTATTATCATTATTCTAAATTCTTTTTCTGGTAGATTCCCTATTTCCTCCTCTTTTGTTTGACTTGGTGGGCTTTTTTCATGTTCCTTTAGCTGTTGGGTATTTCTCTGCCTTTTCATCTTGTTTAGATTGCTGTGTCTGGAGTGGGCTTTCTGTATTCTTGTGGTCTGAGGTTCCTTTTTATTGTGGAGGTTTCACCGAGTGGGTGGGGTTGGACGATTGGTTTGTCAAGGTTTCCTGGTTAGGGAAGCTTGTGTCAGTGTTCTGGTGCGTGGAATTGGATTTCTTCTCTCTGGAGTGCAGTGGAGTGTCCAGTAATGAGTTTTGTGATGGATCTATGTGTTAGGTGTGACTTTGGAGAGCCTGTATGTTGACACTCAGGTCTATGTTTCTGCGTTGCTAAAGAATTTGCGTGGTATGTCTTGTACTGGAGCTTATTGGCTCTTGGGTGGTGGTTGGTTTTGGTGTAGGTATGGAAGCTTTTGGATGGTCTCTTATTCCTTAATGTTCCGTGTAGTCAGGAGTTTTCTGGTTTTCTCAAGATTTGGGCTTAAGTCTCCTGCCTCTGGATTTCAGTTTTGTTCTTCCAATAGTCTCAAGACTTCTCCAACTATACAGCACTGATAATAAAACTTCTAGGTTAATGGTGAAAAGATTCTCCACCGTGAGAGACAACCAGAGAGGTTCACAGAGTTACATGAAGAATAGGAGAGGGAGGAAGGAGATGGAGGTGATCAGGAGGAGAAAAAGGGGACTCAAGAGGAGAGAGACAGATCTACGCAGTTATCTGTTCCCAAAGTGTTCTCCGTAGCCCAGACACCCACAAAGATTCACAGAGTTGGATTGGGAAGAGAAGGGGAAAGGAGGAAATAGAGGTGTTCCGAGGTAGAAAACAGAGAGTCAAAAGTGGGAGAGTAATCACCACACTCCTGAACAGAAATGGGAACTGAATATTGGATTCTTAAATGACCAAAATTTATATCACATACTACTGAAAAACAAAGATTAAAGATCCAGTGTAGAGGTTAGACTCTTTGAAATACAATATTTAAAAACAAAAACAAAAAAAAATTTAGAAATGTATATGAAGTTTGATTTAAAAATAGGGTTTCTCTCTCTCTCTCTTTTTTTTTGGCAAGGTTATAGTGAAATGAAAATGAAAATTAAGGAATAATAGAGGAGTATTAGAGGACTTTAAAAGGAAATAGGAGAGAAAAACAAGAAAAAGAAAAAAAAAGAAAAATTTTTTTTCCCTAATTAAAAAAATCGTAAAAATATATGAAAATGAAAGTTGAGGAGTAATGGGGGAGTAATAGGGAATTTTAAAAGAAAATAAAAGAGAAAAAATTAAAAAAAATTTAAAAAAAAAGGATAGAAAAAAAAATTTTTTTTTTAAATTAAAAAAAAATATATATATATATCTAGGAATTTCTCTGGAGTTGTTGCAGTCAGCGTAGGTTCAGTTCAATTTCAGATAGCTCCTCTTTCCAGCTTACATTTCTCGATATCTGTAGGCCCCTTCTGGTGTAGTCGGTGTTACCTTCAGGGATTTTAGTCTGTTGCACCAGTCCTTTCTGAAGCAGTTCCCTTTGTTTATTTGGCTTCTGTTTGCCGTCTCTTCGGTGTCTAATTTCCGCCCTGACACAGGCGGGTGGAGGTGATCTCTTATTTAGGTTCTCTAGTTCAGTTCAGTCCTGCTACGGGGAGGGCGGGGCGCTGCAGACAGATACCGCTCTGTGTGGATAGCACTCACCGTGTTCCGGTCACACTGGGTTTGCCCCGCTCACGGGTGTCAGTGCTTTTGCCGTCTACACTGCTCAGGCTCCCGGCTGCTCTATATGGAGCGGGCCCTGCGTTGAGTGCGGTTCCAGTTTTCGGGTACTCCACAAAAGCGCAGATTCGGTTGCGCCTGCGTTTTGTGCCTTCCCCGGCCTGAGCGGTTCAGGAAGCCAGAGGCTTGGGCGTACTCTCCCTGGGTGCGGCGCGCCTTTTCCCTCCGCGGCGGGCAGCCCAGGCAGCCAGAGGCTTGGGCGCACTCTCCCCGGGTGCGGCGCGCCTTTTCTCTCCGCGGCGAGCGGCCCAGGCAGCCAGAGGCTTGGGCGCAATCTCCCCGGGTACGGCGCGCTTTTTCCCTCCGTGGCCCCAGCGCGCGCCGCCAGTCGGGTCTCAGGAAGTCTTTAGATAGGAACCGGGGGCCTGTTTGCAGTGTGGGAGGGGGTGGCTTCTCAGGGGCTGAGTTTGCCCTTTTCCCCTACCCCCTGCCTCCAACCTCCAGCAGGGATGGGCCGGCTCTTCTCTGGACTTTCTCAGTCCCTTTGTTTTGCGAACCCCCGGCAGTGTGTTCAGGCCCTAAGCAATGCCGCCCGCTCCTCTCCGTCCCGCCCCCGCTTGTTGCTGGCGGGTACGGGCGTCTGGGGTACTTTTCTGCTGGGAGTTGCTTTTAGGCACGTAATCTGTGGGCCTTGTTTAATTTTTCCTCCCAGTTAGATTGCCGAAAACTTCCCCCAGTCCCGCCAGTGCGAGGGTTTCCTGGTGATTGGAAACTTCCTCTATTAAGACTCCCTTCCCGGGACGGGTCTCCGTCCGTAGCTCTTTTGACTCCCTTTTTATCTTTTATATTTTGTCCTACCTCCCTTCGAAGACAATGGGCTGCTTTTCTGGGCGCCTGATGTCCTCTGCTAGCGATCAGAAGTTTTGTGCAATTTGCTCAGCATTCAAATGGTCTTTCAATGAATTTGTAGGAGAGAAAGTGGTCTCCCCGTCCTATTCCTCCGCCATCTTGGCTCCTTCTCCAACATTTATCTTCTTAATGCTGTGAGGTGGATGCTATTTCATATTGTGGATTAGAAGACTGGGCCTCTGACCCATCCCAGATCACAAAACTAGTTATGGGTAGAACCTAGATCTGAATCTGATTTTTCTGACTCATAAGACCATGCTTAGTTCAAGAAAACTATTTAATTTTGTTTAGTTAATAAGTATTTATTGAACAAAAATCTCTTAGCATGATAGAACCAGTCTTAACACGTCTTTGACATCTTCACTTTCAGGGATGTCTTAGTATTTCTTTTGTATACTTAAACCAATGGACTATTGGAAGAATTTAATAAATTCAGTTTTAATGAACAGCAGACCATAGATTTAGTTTTTATACACTTGTTATTAAATATCAGGAAATATAAAGCAAACTGTATATACTCTTCAAAACTTCTGGAACTGAGTGGACCTTGAAAATAAAAAGAACTGTTATTAGATGTTTCAAAAGTATAAGTCTTTCAAAATTCTATTTTTTCTATTATTTTGGTTTCATTTTTTATTTTTGGGTTTTTAGATTTTTTTCTTTTCTTTTTTTCCTTTTTTTCTTTCATTTTAAAAATTTTTTTCTTTTTTTTCTCTTGTCAAAGTTTTATTTTTAGTTGTAAGATATATCTTTATTTTAAAATAGGTATACCACATAAAATATACAGTTTTTTACACTAGCTCAGATAGCATATATGTATCAGTACAGTAACATATCTGAATCCATATTTGTGCTTAGTCTTTTTACATTCAAAGATTAAAGAGTCTTTATTACTTTAAGCAAATAACAAAGCATCTCATTTTTCATAAGCACTCTGCACAGTAGTATAGTGGTTAGAGCCTAACCTAGAGCCAGACTACTTGGGTTCAAATTGCAGCAAATTGCAGCTCTGCCACTGACAAGCTGTATAGTCTTAGACAAATTATGTAACCTCTCTACCTCAGTGTTCTCATTTGCAAAAGCAGGTAATAATGTACATACCTCATAGGGTTGCTGTATAGTGCTGAGAACAATGTTTAGCATATTGTAAGTACTCAGTAAATATCATCATTATTTCAATTTGTTTAGCACCTTTACTCATGCCAAAGAATACTAAGATTTCATTTGAGTTTCCTTGTTCAGCATAACTCATAGTTCTTCCCTTAAATAGATTTGTGTTTAGAAATTAAAGAGCTTCTGTCAGCTGGAAGCTTTTGACAAATAGATGTTTGGTTTCTGGTGATGAGCCATCATAATGCCTGAGTCAGTTACACTACCCTCTTCTAGCTTTGAAAATTCTGAGACATTTAACAATTTCTATTCTCTAATTTTCTTGCCTGAGGTGTGACAGGTGCACAATAACTTTTCATTTCCATGCTGCTTTGGACGGTGATCTTTTTGAAGGCATGTTAAGTGACAGTTAGGGAACTCATGTAAATTAAAATTCACTAGTGTTATCAATGTGAAAATAACCGAAGTGATGCTAACTTCCAGTAGGTGCAGACTCCAATGACTAAGGCACACCCTGGTCCTCTCTTGGCATCTTGCAAATTTCTTTCAATAGAAGTCATAAGATTCATCCTCATTTCATAATATGTAATGTGAAAAAGTCTTAGAATCAAAGAAATATGGTATTTAACTATTTGGGGGGAAAATGGGATTGTCCAAGTGAATTGGATATCTTTTGTGCTGTCTGATCCTGCATATAACAGTACTAATAATAACAAAATTATTGAGGTACTAAAACTAAAAGTTCACTTTTATGGTGTAAATATTTTTTTATATGATGATAAAATAATCAATGTCAATTTCTCCATAGAACTACTTTCTGCTTTCTTCTTCAATGGATAAAACAGTCAGATTATGGCACATTTCCAGAAGAGAATGCCTTTGCTGTTTTCAGCATATAGATTTTGTCACTGCCATAGCTTTCCATCCAAGAGTAAGTGTTTACATGTTTTTTGTTATACTATGAGGAAGGTGAGGGAACCAGTTTTCTCTGGAGGATATCTGGACTACAGGAAAAAAAATTATTAATAGCCATATAGTTTACAGCAACTTAATGTTTCATTCTGCTTTAGAAATAAGAAAGGAACTAAATTTTGTATTAATCTGCATTAGAAGAGCTGGAAATATTATAGTCTAAATATCAATATACTAGTGAAAAGTCATCCAAAGTCTTTAATAAAACCTGCAGGGTATAAATAAATAAGATACCCTATTAAAGAGGAAAGAGGTTGGAGATGGTGGAAGAAGAAAATACAGCAGGTAAATAAGAAAGGGAAGCATATAGGCAGGAATAATTAGTTGCAGGAGAGTCAGGAAGGGAAGAGACAAAGAAAAGGTTGAAAGTGGCAAAGACCAAAATTCATTACAAGATAGACTGAATTCCTGTTTTATATCTGGAAACATTGTGAATCTTGAGATCTCCTCTTACTCATTTTCAGTGTAGAAAATCCTGTAATATCTTTCTTCCAGAAGGAATTTCATATAATTTCAACTAAAAGAGAAAAGTCTACTATCATGGACTCCAGACCTATCTGATGCCCTTGTAAGATAGATCCACTAAATGCATAAGGCTAGAGAAGTTTTAGTTCTTTGCAGCTGTAAGCACAGGGATGTCATGTGTTGGCACTGCTTCACCAGCTAGGTTGAAATAAGTGGAAGGCTTGAGCTGACCTTCGTTGACTTTCCCTCCCCTATGTTGGTGTATATGATTACATTTCCAATCATGTCCTCATCTCTATATGTTAATACCCATTGTCTTTTTAATGCAGACTTTCAATTATATTCACATTTCTTTCTCTCTTTCCTCAGATTAAGAAAGAAGAATGACTTTTGTCTCTCAATATAATTTCCCTCCCTGGGCAGGCTTATAACATAGGCATTAATAAAGTACTTTATTAAGAACTTTTGAAAATTAAAGATGTTTAATTAAAGATGTTTAAAGATGTTTAACAGCATATCAGTTTGACCATCAAGCTCTCGAGGCTTCTTTCTGAAAAATACCCCCATCCTGTCACCTAAGGATGCAACAGAAGAATGGATTTACCCCTGTCAGCAACTGTGAACAAAATCCCCCACTTCTATTTTAACTATAATGTATCAGAGTGCAAAGAGAGGGGTATTAGATGATGATAGTTATCCATGTAGTACTTTATCATTAAGGTTTCTGTTCTAGTCAGCAATTTCCCTATACCTTTATTTGGTTTTATTTTAGAAACTGAAAAGCCTTATTTCTAAAACTTCTACTTACCTGGAGAGTTTATGAGAGGGGCTAGGGAAGAATGGAGTGATGTTGACATTTTCCTTGGAAATATAACTGTATCAAATAATGTAACTTGGAAGGAAGCAGGGTTATAAAAGAAATAGCAAAATAGAGATACACATATACACGTGTATATGTGTATATAATGAATTGTAAGACCAAGATAAAGTATTTTTACTTGTTCAGCACTTCTAGTGGTATACATTGAGTTGAGCCTACTATACCATATCTGTAAAAATACCTATTCTATGAAGGTTATCCTTGACAGGCTTCAGAAGTAGGTAAGAATAATAATCTTGAATGGAAAAGAAAATCTGTTTCATGTTTTTGTGTCCTAATTATTTTATCTTATCTTTAATTCTTATGTTACCAAAAATTAGAGCAACTTTTTGATAGGCCTGGTTTAGTTTAGAGCAAGGTTTCTAAACCTTGGCACTAAAGGCATTTTGGGTTGGATAATTCTTTTTTGTAGAGAGAGGGAAGGCTGTCTTATGCATTGTAGTATGTTTAACAGCATTTCTGGGCTCTTCCCACTAGATGTCAGTAGCGCCCACCCCCTAAATTGTGACAATCAGAAATATCTCCAGACATTGCTAGATGTCCCCTGTGGGGCCTGTTTGCCCCCATTTGAGAATCCTTGGTTTGAAATTGAAAATTTGGTTAAGAATTTAAATAGTGACGCGATTCTCTGCTGACAGGGTGTTGGAGTTCCAAAGATTAACTGGTTCTGTGAGCTAACTAACATTAGTTACTTTTTTATCCATGTATTACATGTATCGCAAGGAAGGTATGGGCAAATGTACCATTATAGGGTAGTGTTTCCCAAAGCATGTTCCTTGAATGTGCTAGCCCTGCTAGGTGTCCCTACCTGACCCCCTGCCAACCCCCTTCAGAAAGATTCAGAACGCATATTAACAGAGAACCCAGAATTTCTCAAACTTATTTGATCACAAAACACTTCTACACGATATTTACTCCATTGTCTGTTAACATCTATTCTTTGGGAAAAGCAGTTTAAGGATATGATAAATGATTAGAACCTCATTTCTCAAAAATGAATATTGAGGTTTCTAATTGTTATTTTTAATGAATAAAATGCTTACTTTAATACTTTTAAAATAAAATTTACATATTTTAACATTTATTTCTAATAGACTTGATGTATTGATTTTGCTGATTAGTTTTTCTTCATGTGGTAAAATGAAAGCTTCCTCTTTTGCCACCTTTTTAGGATGACAGGTATTTTCTAAGTGGGTCATTGGATGGAAAGCTCCGCCTTTGGAACATACCTGACAAAAAAGTGGCTTTGTGGAATGAAGTAGATGGTCAAACAAAATTGATCACAGCTGCAAATTTCTGTCAGAATGGCAAATATGCAGTGATTGGAACATATGATGGAAGGTGTATTTTCTATGATACAGAGGTAAATGACTATCTTGTATAAATTACATACTTGAATACTTAGAAGACCCTTTTGTGGTTTGGAATAAGTTGGTGTATCCTCCCTGGACTTTAACTGCCTTATCTGTAAATTGGGACAAATAATATTAATACCATGTTTGTCTGTGAGTTGGCTCAGATGATCTTTGAGCTTCTAATTCTGATCTTTTTAAATTGTGGTTTCTTTTTAGCATTTGAAATACCACACACAGATACATGTCCGATCTACTAGAGGGCGCAACAAGGTTGGAAGAAAAATTACTGGCATTGAGCCTTTACCTGGAGAAAATAAGGTACTAAGTATTGAAAACCATCTCTCTCCACACTATATATAGACTCCTGAAAGTAAGTTCTTCATATCTTGGCTAAGAATATATTTCCTTTCTTATGGAATATTGCTTTTTCTAGTTTTGAGGTATATTCTATATTTGTGTAACACCCTTTTTTGGTTGTACCTTAACACAGATTAAATGGTGGTATTTTTAACTTTTCCTTTGATTTGTTTTTAGATACTGGTAACCTCAAATGACTCCAGAATCAGACTATATGATCTTAGAGATTTGTCACTGTCCATGAAGTATAAAGGTTATGTCAACAGCAGCAGCCAGATCAAAGCAAGTTTCAGGTAAATTGGCAATGAGGAATTCCCCATAGAGATCACAATATTTCTCCCCTACTCCCATTTTTCCATTGATCTATACCTTATGTTTATATGTTTATGTATAATGGTGTTAGTTACTTTGGATTTTTACAACTGGTATCTCATTTTATCAGTCATACAAAACTTACCTTATCCACCTGTTTGGTAGAGTTAGAATTGCTCCTCCTCTGCTGATGAGGAAGCAACATCCAGAAAATTAAGTAATTTGCCTTAAGTCACACTTGTAGTAGCAGAGCCAGGATTAGAAGACTCCCAGCTCCAGAATTTGTACTTTTGTACTTTCATGTATGCTTTCTAAGAGGAGATTTATCCCACCACCACTCACCCTTGGCCTTTTAAGTACAGAAACTAATAAAGCATTTTGAGACCCTAAGGTACAATGTCCTGTATTTATACCTTTATATGTCATTATTATTTGAACTTTTAATTTAGGGTCTGCAGGCTCTCCTGAAATACCTACCTCTTCTTTCTTTATAGCCCTCTTTATTTCAGTCCTTTTCTTACCAGTTCTCTGTTTTTCTTGAGCTACCCAGTAATTACCCAGTAATTTAATTAGTAAAGTATTCAGCTTCTCTCTTTTATCTCTTAAGTAGACATTCCTCCTGCGGGCTTCCCTGGTGGCTCAGTGGTATAGGATCTGCCTGCAATGCAGGAGACACAGGTTCCATCCCTGGGTGGGGAAGATCCCCTGGAGAAGGAAATGGCAACCCACTCCAGTATTCTTGCCTGGGGAATCCCATGGACGGAGGAGCCTGGCGGGCCTGGTGTCACAGAGTCATACATGACTTAGAGACAAAGCAGCAGCAACAGGCATTCCTCCCAGTGTGGGTTAACCCAGCACCGGTTACCTAGAACCTTGATAAACGTATGAATGCCACTGGCCACCCATATCAACCCCACATGTTTAGGGCCTCTGAAGTGAGGCTTAGGAGTCTGTATTTCAGAAAGTTCTCTTGGATGTTTTCTTAGGTGTTTCAAACTAGGAAGCTCTGATAGAGAGAAACCCCTAAAAAGCCCCACAACTTTGATTCTTTTTCTTTCTTCCCTAAATTTAGCCATGATTTTAATTACCTTGTTAGTGGCTCAGAAGATAAGTATGTTTATATCTGGAGTACTTACCATGACTTAAGCAAGTTTACTTCAGTCAGGAGAGATCGTAATGACTTTTGGGAAGGTATTAAAGGTAAGTAAATGCCCAGTTTGGTGTGTCTTTTAAATAAATAAAGTTAAGATATATTATAGGTAAATTTGTATAGGCATTATTTCAGAGAGAGAGTTTGGCAGTTTTAACTGCTTTCAGTTTGTATTGGCTTTGTTTGACTTTTCTATACCAAGGAAGAACTTATACTTGTGTAAAATTTGAGACATCATGGAATCTCAGAACTTGTATGTGGTTTTGGGGTTTTTTTTAAGAAAATATTTTTGAGTTTTAAATAGTTCTGAGTTACTTATCTGTTCATTTCTAAAGATATTTGTATAGAACATACACTATTTAAAAAAAAAAGAACATACACTATTATATTTTTTGCATATTATACTTTTTATCTTGATGTTTAGAATCAAGCTTATTAGTTATCCTAAAGTCGATTTTTTTTTTACAGCACATAATGCAGTTGTTACATCAGCTATCTTTGCTCCAAACCCAAGTTTGATGTTGTCTTTGGATGTGCAATCTGAAAAATCAGAAGGAAATGAAAAAGGTGAAGATGCCGAAGTGTTGGAAACCATGCCCTCTGGTAGGTACCTGTGTTTTATTTGTCCTTCATGCTCTCTGATCAGCCTTTAGTAGCTTCATTGATCTATGAGTATTATGAGGTCTTCATTAATATGAAGAATATTTCTTGTATACAACATAATGGTTGACAGATATTCATTTATGAACGTTTTGGTAACATAATTCTTGGAGGTTTTACTTCTCTTAAATTCACCTGGGAATTAAAAATGAAAATTTTGAAAGGTTGTAATTTTTTTATGAACAGTTGTTCTCTTTGGAGAAATGCAAACAAGACATAAATATATACAAAATATATCACTTTTCTCTTCTACTACAGTATCATCTCTGTGAGGACACAGATTTTATGTATTTTATTTATTGTTGTAGTGCCAGTGCCTAGCCCAGTGCTTGCCTGCATATGGTAGATGCTTAATAAAGAATTACTGAATAAGTGAGTTAAACCAAAATGAAAGCAGTATTATTTTCTCTTGCCACAAATTTATAGCTTCTCATAGATAGCTCTTGGGTTGACCAAAAAGTTTGTTTGGGTTTTTCCCTCATATCCAGTGGAAAAACCTGAATGAAGTTTTTGGTCAACCCAATATCTCCAAGCCTGTAATAAGGTTTTAATAATGAAGAGTCTTTTCAGTTATATAAAATGCTCAGATTAGGAAGTGAAAAGAAACCATCAAGTAGTAGTGAGTGCCAATTATATAAAAATGATTTTCCTGTTAATTCTTTTTTTTTCCCTGTTAATTCATAAGAACAAGATAAAGCCATGTGAATTTGGACCAGTTGTTAACAAAAACAGTTTGTATTGTTATACTCGATTGCAGAATATTTTAGTAAATGCGTTTTCTCACTTTAGAGACTACACCAGGTCTTGAAGAGTGTTATAAAGACACAGCAATACATACAGTGTACCAAGAATGCTTCTAAAATTATTTGAATATTTAAAAGTTCTCAAGCATGTTTATTTAATCTCAAGCAGTTTCCCTTGTGGTATTGTTTGCACTCTACACTGCACTAAAGACACTATTTCTTCTGTCTGTGAAGCAAAATTTTGATACCAGAGACAAGCTTCAGTCTAGCACTTCTTTCAATTACATGATTTAAAAATAAACCAACTCAGAATTATTACACCTTTACTAAATGCCTGTTTGGAAATATTTCTTTTCATTTTTTTCCCTCACAGTCAAATCCTGTTTCTGTCTTCTAAATTAAGTCATTTGGTTGGGTTTTTTCTTTTCTTTTTGTCCAATGATTCCTTTTTACACTCTGTACATTCCCCTACATATTGCACAGAAAATTCTAGTTTTTTAAACTGTTTGAGGAAAAATGGAAAGTGCTTTTTTTAGACTTCTCAAAACCGCACTGTATTAACATTGTTCAGTTACCACTTTGCTGGGTCCTTTCTAAAGAGGCAGAACTTTGGATCATACTCAGATTTGTGTTTGCTATTTTCTATTTTCTATCTGTGTAGGTATATTCTAAGAACACTCTCAAACCTGTGGTTGAGATCATAAAGTATATCTGATTGCCCTTCTCTGTATTCCTGACATATTTGACTATTTAAGCTTCCATTTTCCTCATGTTTAAAATGGTGATAATACCTCATTGATAAGGTTTTGATATGGACAGAAGACCTAAATGACATTTCTTCAAAGAAGACATATAGATGGCCAACAGGCACATGATAAGATGTTCCATATCACTAATTATTAGAGAAATGCAAATCAAAGGTACAGTGCACACACACACACACAGAGGAATATTACTCACCCATTAAAAAGAATGAAATAATGCCACTTGCAGCAACATGGATGGACCTAATGATTATATTAAGTGAAGTAAGTCAGACAGACAAAGATAAGTATGATATCATTTATATATGAAATCTAAAAAATAGTACCAATGAACTTACAAAACAGAAACAGACTCACAGACATAGAAAACAAACTTACCGTTACCAAAAAGGAAGAGGAGAGGGAGAAATTATGAGTATGGGATTAACAGATGCACACTACCTTATATAAAATATATATAACAAGCATTTACTATATAGCACAGGGAACATATTCAATATCTTGTAACAACCTATAATGGAAAAAATATATATGTACATATATGTGTGTGCGTGCTCAGTCATTTTAGTTGCGCCCAACTCTGTGTGACCCTATGGACTGCAGCCTGCCAGGCTTCTCTGTCCATGGGGTTTTCTGGGCAAGAACACTGGTGTAGGTTGCCATACCTTCTTACAGGGGATCTTCCCAACCCAGGGGTCGACCCCATGTCTCTTACATCTACCTGCATTGGCAAGCGGGTCCTGTACCACTAGCGCCACGTGGGAAGCTCATGTACATATTTATGTACCTCCAAGTATATGCATGTCTCAATCACTTTTCTGTACAACTGAAACTAACACAATATTTTAAATCAACTATACTTCAATTTTTAAAAAGATACAGCTGAAAACTAAAAAAAGAAACAAGGTTGTGATAAGAAGTAAAGATAATACATGCATCTAGCAAAATGCCTGGCGTGTAATAGATATTATCATCTTCATTATATAGTATCTTATAAAACATTTTTATATTTATATATATGATGATTTCTTTTCTTCTCCAGCCTCTCTGATATCTGTCAGTTGTTTGCTGCTGCTTCTGCTGCATGATGGTACTTTGAGATAAATGAAAAGTGTATTAGGAATGTTCAAAGGTTTAGCATATGTTTTTAGCAACTCTAAGTGAAACCATTTTGTCTAACTCATCCTGTACACAACTGTCCATTTAAAGTTTGGATTATCTTCTTCCTTACAAATCAGCACTTCTTAAGTCTACAATTCTTGCCTGTGCATAATCGTTAACACTGAATTTTGTTTGTTAAATGTTTTTACCGGCAAACATAAGAGGTAAGCATTTTTGCCATTCAGCATAGCTACATAGTTCTTCAGTATGGACTGGAAAGGCAAAAGGTGTTGTCAGCATTCACAGAGCAATCATGTGTACTGCATTTCATGGCAGTTCCAGTATGTCTGCTGTACAGTAAACCTTACTGTCAATCTCATTAGTGAACCCTGTTAGCAAAAGACTTGCCCAGCTGATCCCATCTTGCCAACACTCCAGTCCTGGGGCTGAATAGTACACTAGCCTCTTGCTGTGAGGGCTTCTCTGATGGCCCAGACAGTAAAGAATCTGCCTGCAATGCAGGAGACCCAGGTTCAATCTCTGGCTCAGGAAGATTCCCCTGGAGGAAGGCACAGCAACCCATTCCAGTATTATTCTTGCCTGGAGAATCCCATGGACAGAGGAGCCTGGTGAGCTGTAGTCCATCGGGTTGCAAAGAGTTGGACACAACTAAGTGACTAACACACACACACTCTTGCCATGAAATGAAGAATTAGACAATTTAGAGGACTTGGCTGCCCGGGACTAAATCCAGGCATCCAGGCCCCAAGGGACCATAATCTCCCTATGCCAGGAAAAGAGCAGCTAAGACAAGGTAAAGTGAAATTGAGCCTCAGAGAGGATGAAAGGATTACGGGAGCAAGCCAGGAAATAGACTGAAAAGGTGGGTAGAGGTTCTTCCCACCCCAGAGGTGGAGGGTCATGGGCATGTGACGGGCTTGTGGCAGCAGACTTCATATTCCTTTAAAATCAATGAAAAACTTTTTTTTATGCTTTTAAGGTATTATGAAGACAGACAACACAGAAGTTCTACTCTCTGCTGACTTCACTGGAGCAATCAAAGTGTTTATTAACAAAAGGAAAAATGTATCTTAATTTGAAATGACATTTAAAATAAACATATCAGTAAGTTTCTGTATGTACCAGGACTGAAAAAAATCATAGTGTTTCAGGTTAACATCCTTTTTTTTATTTTTATTGGAAGTTGTTCAAATATAATATATTTTTTGAGAGGCAGTGTTAATGATCTAGTAAACCCTGGATTGATAGACTAGAAAGGAATGTAGCTAGAATAACATTGCCAAACATTAGGCTTTACATTTTGTTACGTTTGTGTTTTTGTTATATAATTGTGAACATGCACAGGTTTCTGCATGAAAATATATTAATATATTAATCACATGTGTGTGCCTTTTGGTTACATGCACTAAATCTAACAGAGTTAAATTATTTCAGTGGCTCTTTTGGCCTCTTATTGAGGAGGAGTGTCTTGTTTCTAGCTTAAATAATTTCTTTTGCACAAAATTTCATTTTTAAGAAAAGTGGTATCTTTTGACTGAGTTATTGTTTTAAAAATGTTATATAGGTTTTCAGTAGGTCAACAACCATGTGTAAATGGTTTTTATAAATTTCTCAATTTGGGGACGATTTTTTTTGTGTGTGTGGTCTAAATTGTGGACTTAAGATTCTTTTCTTTGTATGTGTATATATAATTTTTTTTTTTTGCCACACTGGAGCACAATGTTTCTATGTAAAGAATTCTTTTCATTCTTTATCCATGAGCACCAGGCTTTGCTCACTTAAAAAAAATTAAGCCGCATTAAGGAGTGAGTCTTCTTTTTTACAATAATGTAAAAATAAACTGTTTACATTTTTTTAAAGCATTGTAGTTTTAAAAATTAAGCTGTTTTGTTTTGTGTTGTTAAATTTGGAAGCCTTTGTAAATATTGATATAATGTACCAATGAAATAACATCTGGGGTTGATGGAACCCTAATAATGTTGTTGATGGTTAGCATATGTTTCTGAAAATTAAATATATTATTAAAAGTTGGTGGCCAAAAGTTGTTAAACATGTGATTTTATTTTCCAATGACTTCAGTAACTTGAGAAATGTAAGAAAATAAAAGTCTTGTTATATAATTTGATTTTTAGCAAGCAGAGATCAAATTTTGGACTCCTAAATTATAATGCATTAGTTATATACCTTTAAGAAAAATAGTTTTTAATTCTAGTTCTAAAATGAACAGTGCTACCAGTTCATCTCTATGCTTATACATTCTTTACTGCAGTGGTTTTCAGTATGTAAGTGAGAACCTGAGGAGCCATGATCATATCCTTATTAATCAGCATAGTCTTGAGTGTCCTGGATTTTCTAGTTCATTCTGTATTGTTTATCTTGGTTTTATTTCTATGCTGCTTTCTTCCTCTTCCCAGTGACATGCTTTCTCCTTCCTCTCCTCCCACCTCCCTCACTATCCTCTCCCCACCTCTCTGCTCACCTTCTTGTACTCTGCCTGACAGATCAAGGTGTTATGCCATTGGCTTTCTAACCAGTCTCTTTCTTAGTCTCAAGGTCTGGATGGCAGTGGAATTGGTCTAGTGTCTCAGAGAACTCAGTGTATTCAACTCTCTGAGGCTGCTTGGGTTTCACTGACTTCTGCCTGATGCCTCGTAGTCTTGCCATGGTGCTGGATGTTTCAACTGCATATAATCGGGGTGTTGCCATATGAATATTTCCTGATGGGTTTTATGTGGTTTCTTGAACAAAAAGGCAAAGGCAAAATAGTTGGGATGCAAGCTTAAGAGAATAATACTGATACTTCTAAATTTAATTTTTAAAATGTTGGTTTATCATTATATAAATATGCTGCAAAGTTACAAGTCAGAAAGTGAGTTTGAAAAGGTAGCATCAAAATGTATGTAAAGAAAAATTGAACAGTATTTTTCCCTAAAATGAGCTGTATTAGAAACTCACTGTACTAAGTGGCGTGGTATTATTGGAAGGAGCACAGATTCTAGAATTAGATAAACTTAGATTTGGTTTCCTCTGTGAGCACCTTCCTTGGGCATGTTATTTTATATTAATTTCCATGTCCTTATCTGTAATATGAGAATATTTCACTGAAATCATAAGGATTTAGTGAAAATCATGTATATGTAAAACTTGGTACCTAGCTAGTACTCAATAGACATACATTTCTTACTGCATTTCCCGAATCCCTCAGTACACTTCTAGACCAAAAAAAAGGGAGGGGAGGATGTGGAAGCACTTTTCAGATACTGATATTTCATGGGTGAATGCATTTTTTTTTTGATGAATAGTATTTTAAGGATTGACATAGGGCACCAGCCCTTTTTTGTCAACTCAACACTTTAAAAAACTTCCACCATTTATTTGTTATTTAGTTGCTAAGTCATGTCTGACTTGTGACCCAATAGACTGTAACCCGTCAGGCTCCTCTGTCCATGAAATTTTCCAGGCAAGAATACTCAGTGGGTTGCCATTTCCTTCTCCAGTGGATCTTCCCTACCCAGGGATCGAACCTGCATCTCCTGCTTAGCAGGTGGATTCTTTACCACTGAGCCACCTGGGAAGCCACCATCATAAAAAAGAGAACATTTTAATACTAAAAAAAGTCAAGCACAATCTTATCTTAGGGCAACAGACAGTCTATTAAAGTGAATAAACCTAGCTTTTGAAAAAAGTAACCATATTTTCTTATTTTCCCTTTCTCTGGTGAAAATTTCATCACTGAGTTAGTGTGGCTGCCTAAATAAGTTTAAAGCCACATTTCATTGAAAACTCTTTGGGGAGTCATAACAAGCCTTCCCTTGTCTTTATCTTGTTTACATTAATTGGAATTAAAATATGAATGACTCAACATAATTTAGCATGCCATTTTCTCTGGTCTTTCACATTATACAGCTAAGCAGTTGCTTTTTATTCTTTGAAATACATGTATAACATTAATATATCCATTCCCCAAATTCCAATTTCAAATTTTGAGAGCCGGCTCTCCTTACTGATATTAAAAAATCAAATTTTTGGAATTTTTTAAAGTCTTTATTATGGGGATTCAGGATAAAAATATGTTTGGGATTTAATATTTCCCCATAAGTTTTCAAAAGAAAATCATGCCCAGTTTCACTAGTTTCTAGCTTCCTGCCTTGCTTCTGCATTAGCATATGTTTATTGAACATCTCCTATGTACAGACCATTGCTGGGACTAAAGAAGAATAAGACAGCATCTGTGTGCCAGAAGAGCTCCCAGTCTGATGGAGAAGGTGGCCACAGAAACAAGCAAGAGACTTGGAACTGTCTCGTGGCTGTAGCCCTAGGAATGCCCCTTCTCATCCTATTCCCAATCTCTGTTTTTTTTTTGCTTCCTAGTAACTCATGACAGCCACTTGACTTTTAGGCCAGTCTTTGTTCATCTAATAGTACAAGTAGCAAAGATAATGTGGGTAAAAGACCTTATGAGTAAGCCAGAGGTAAGGCAGAAAAAACGAAGTACCTAACCAAGGCAACATTTTCACTGGTTTCTGGCACCCCTCCTCCCAGTCTAAAATCGTTGTCTATTTCCCCCAAAATCTTACCTGTCTTCTGTTTCAAACTAACTCCTGATTATCAGACTCCTCCCCGCAACTGCTTTCCTGTTCCCTTCAGTTCTTAAGCTTGGTCCATTCTATTTTCTTTTGTTCTCTAGATGTAAGTCATCTAGTCTTGGGGAGCCCAGGTTTCCCCCATTAACCACAACCACATGGCTGGTGTAGATCCATGCACATGAAATGCATTCAGGTTGATACAGCAGGGCCAGTGTGAAGGGTGGTATGGAATAGAGGGGAGGGATCCACTGCAGATTCCCCAACAAATCAAATGTCATCATGTAGATTACAGGTTATCTAGGCTGGCCCAAGCAGATCGAGCTAGCTTGTATGTCCAGCTACTCTGCACTACATTTTTTAAATTTTATTTTGGAATAACTAGATTTACAGAAAAGTTCCAAAGGAAATATGGCATTCCCATGTACTTATTACCCAGTTTCCCTTAATGTTAGTATCTTACATTACCATGGTACATTCATCAAAACTAAAATCCACACTGCTGCAATACTATTTAAGTAAACTTTATTCATATTGCACCAGTTTTTCACTAGTGTCCTTTTTCAGTTCCAAGATCCAGTCCAGAATACCTTTCATTTAGGCATATTGTGCTTCCTTAATTTAAATAAACTTTATTTTAGAATAGTTTTATATTTTTCAGAAAAGTTTGCATAGTTCACATAACCCCTGCACCAACTTCCCCTGTGGTTAGCATCTGACATTACAGTGGCACATTTTTCACATTAAGGAACCAACACTGGTACATTACTGTTAACTCCATGCTTTATTTGGATTTCACTAGTTTTTACCTATGTCCTTTTTCTGTTCAGGAATCCCATCCAGGATGTGACATTATATGTGGTTGTCAGGTCTCCTTTGGCTCTTCTTAGCCATGATGTTCTCTCATACTGCCCATGCTTCTGATGACTTCAGCAGTTTTGAGGAGTACTGGTTAAGTATTTTGTTCAATGTCCCTCAGTTGGGTTTGTCTGGTATTTTTCTCATGATTTCAACAGGCTGTAGCCTCTAGGGAGGAAGCTCACGGAGGTGGATTGTTCCTTCATTACATCGCATCAGGCATATATAGTACCAGCATGACTTTATCACTTGGCTGAGGAGTGTTTGTCAGGTTTCTCTACTACAAAGTTACTTTTTTCTCACTTTCCATAAATCTGTTCTTTGGAAGTGAATCACTAAGCACAGCCCAAACTCTTGGGGTGGGAAAGAGTAAAGGCCCACCTCCTTGAGAAGCAAGTGTCTGTATAACTTAATTTGGAACTGCTTAGTACAGGAGATAGGTCTCTTCTCACCTATTTATTTATTCAACCATTTGTTTATGTCACTTTGGACTTACAGGTAATTATTTTAGACTTTGAGTTGTAGTCCAACACTGCATTATTTTGTCTTTCAACTTGTTCTTTCAAGTTGGCTTCTATGTCCCTTTGACTTTTTTTTTTTGAGCACTTCCTTTCTTTATGTCACTCCTAACAT